CTCATCAATGGGAAAGGTGTTATTCTCTACAACAATTCATGGCCACATGTGGCACTCTTGACGCAACACGAGATTATGGAAGTCGGGTTGGGAAGTTCTCCCCCACCCACCATATTCTCCAGATATGGCACCATCAGATTACTATCTTTTTCGTTCGCTGCAACACCATCTTAATGACAAACATATTCAAATGTGGAAGGTGTTAAAGAGGGCATCGACATGTATTTTGCTTCAAAGCCAAGTGATTTCTTTAATCAGGGCATTAACAACAATCGATAAGAATAGAAACAATTTCATTTAATAAATGTTTTGTTTTGATAAATATAAATTGTTTGGATTTTTTCATCTAAAAAAGCTATATTAATTTCTTGACGACCTAATAAAATAGTGCTTACAATTACTTCCACTAAGAAATGGCATACGTGTTCTGTATCCATTACTACAATGGCAGAAAAAGTTGTGTGTGAAGTGGTTGTTATACAAGCCAATGTAAGATAAAGCAACACTACTACCTGATATAAGCCAGAGAAGTAGCCTAACTTAATACTATCATACATACATACATACATGTAGTTATAATTAACATACAGATACTGCCGATCTTAGAAATATGACACATTCTAACCTGTCGAGCACGTGCTAATTCTCCGGCTAATGATCCTGCTTGTCCCTTGACATGTTCCAGGTTGCTGTTCCCTGGAATATGACGTGCCACACTCTTCGACGCCTTGCCACTAGCTTCTCCAACTAATCCCAAAGAAATTTAACACGTCCTCTTATTTTTTATAAACTGTTTAAATTAAAGGAAGAATACTGTACTATGAAACATGTTTCTGACCAGAACTGTTTTATCATGATTTATATACTTAAATGCAATATGAAAACTATCTGACCCATTGAAAAGGTTTTAATTAAGTAGGAAATAAAAATTCAACCAGTAGAGTTAAAGTTGCATCACAATCGCAAGTAGCAAACTTCGGTACATGACCCAAGAGAAAGGTCTAACAAATATACCTAGTCAGACTCGGACAATATCTGAACTACTGTAAACTAAATGGAATGAAAATAATAAAAAAATATATATACTTATTTTGTCATATGAACCTTTTCTCACAAATTTGTTTTTTAAATAAAATTTGAAAACAAGTTTAAAACAAAAGTACTTGGCTCTCTTTTTACATTCCCAAACTTTAAATTTTTATCAGGGCAGCATCAAAAATTGAACTATTTTCCTTTTGGTGAAAAAAAAAATC